ATGGGCTTGTTCACCCTCTAATAAAGGATGCTAAAGGCAGAGAAAACAAAGATAGATGAGTCTTCGTATGACCAGAAATAATTTAGGAATTAAAACAACGTGATTGGATACATTTTGACAAAGGCTTTAATAACTAAAAGTATATACATAACCTTGGGTACGGTACATTTTTTTTATAGATTAACCTTTTATCCTCAAAAATAAAGTACCGGACAAAAACTTTATAAAAATTTCTTGTTTGTGTCGAAGCACTTATTTTCATTAATGATTTCGATTATTTTCAATTTATTTTTGTTAGCAAAAAAAAAAAAAAACTCTGAAAATGCATAAATAAATCCTTTCACTTCTTTTTTCAAACAGAACCATTTTGAATTTTTTTTTTTTTTTCTAAGAATCAACGATTTGTAACTATGTTAAGGTAACATGATCTATTAGAAACATTATTTCATAAAGCTAATCACAGCTGGTAGGGGAAATTAGAGCACCCGTCTCGGTGTCTAGTCACCAAACGTGTGAGGTCTTGTACTGTTATTGCAATTGCAGTGCCTAATCACCAAATTCAGAAATAAGAGATTCTTGCATCGCCTTCTTATTCTTTAATTATATGAGCTTTATACCTTACAGATGTATTGAACGTTTTTATTAGCGTTAGCTTGAAATTGAGTAGTCAAGCTAGCAAATTTCAGCATTTTAATAATTTTACTGGTATTTTTTTTGAGATTGCAAAATTTTTTTACATATTCTGAAATGAAATTATGTTAAGCAATAAAATATTGGTTTGTTTGGTGCAATATTGCATAGAAAATGTATTACAATAAAATAAATTTTAGACTTTGTTATTATATTGATATAAGATCTTGTAAGAATCGTCTACGTTTGCACTTCAATTTTCAAAGAAATTAGTATTGTTTCTTATAATAAAATCAATGATATATGGGATCTCTTAAATTAAAACAGCCAATTTTTACGGTTTTCAAATTTTTTTATTTGATTTTTGATAAATGAAAAGAGGTTGCACTAAGTTACAAAAAACTATTTATATAATAAAAAGATTCACAAATGAATTTAGTTGAAAAGTTTATATATGTAGATTATTTAAAATTGATTTACACAAAATTGTATGAGGTTATGAGAAAAATAAATTGTTGTAATGTATCGAGTAGCAATTTTTCATAGCAGAATATTTTGCAAATAAAAGTAACTAAAGTTGTATTTTCTTAAATTAGGGGGTTTCTGGGCCAAAGTCTGATTTTATTATCAAAATAGACAAATATAAAGCATTCAATATTATCCAAAATCTGTTAAAATGAATAATTATTAGAACATTCGGTGAAATAAAAAATAGGAGCGCTAGGGTGCCAATCTACTCTGTATAATTATCAAGATCGTTGACTACGTTCCTGGTTTTAATGCGACGGCGTTGCGTAGCTTTCTTATTCTTATAATGTCAATATCAATACAGTTAGAAATAATTAACTACATACTGGGGGGTTCATTATAATGGCAAATAAAATAAAATGACAAATAAAATAAGAAAACAACAGCAAAAAGAAAATTAAAAATATATAAATATAGGAATGATGAAACCCATTTTTGTAAAATCTTTCTAGTTTGAGTGTCGCATCATAATTTATATTTTCATAAGCTTTTAGATACCATTCAAAAGCTTTACTTTCGTCTTTAGTTGTTCCGATACCATATTCATAACATATTGCTAACTCATATTGAGCATAAGAATTTCCATCTACTGCAGATTTTAAATAACATTCAAATGACTTTATATAATCTTTATTGTCTTCATAATATTTCCCAATAGCATATCGTCCCATTGAATTTCCTCTTTTAGCTGACCTTAAAAACCACTCAAAAGATTTCATACTATTATTTAAATAACAAGATCCAACATAATATTCACCAATTCCTGATCCGATTTCTGCCGCTTCTAAAAATAATTTAAGTGCAATACTCTTATCCATCGCAACACTTTTTCCATTGGAATATAATGATCCAAGTAATATTTTTCCAATAGTATAATTATTAACCTTAAAATAATTCATTAACGATAAATCACTTGAATAATTTGATATAACATTTTTAATATTATTCTTAATAGATTGATTATACATCCTGTATGCTTTCTGATAATCCACAGTAGTTCCTATCCCATGCTGATAAAAATAGCCTATCATGCTAGTGTTATAGGCTTGATCTGCTAGCTGACACAATATTTTAGTAGAACTTATTTTATTAACCTTAAAATATTGGTTTAATCTACCAACAATTTGTGTTGTGTTGGTAGTAATATTAAATTGATCTATAAATAATTGTAATAGATTTACTAAAATTGACATTTTATTTAAACATGTGACAACTTGTTGAATATTTGGGCGCTGATTTGAAAAATGTTTCCAACAGCCTTATGATTTAATTTTACAAAATATTTAGAAATTAATTTATTTATATAAAGTTATTTTAATCAAATAGCTATAACAGTAATAAAATACCTTTATAAATCTTGGAATACTCTAGAGGAGTCCCAATTACTTCTGTTTCCCTTTTCCCACATATGATAGCATTTATGCAATCATAACCAAATGGAGACTCTGATTCAAATGGAATTGTTCCGCTAGAAAGTTCCCAGAGAAGTACTCCAATACTATATATATCAGAACTTTTGTCTAATTTAGATTCTATATTCTGCAAATATTGTGGATCAAAGTACTGACCAAATCTAATCAAATGAGAACATTGGTTTTGTATCGTGAAATCTTGAGATAGAAAGCCTCTTATTTTAATATTCCCACTAGAAACAAATATATTTTCAGAATTCTACAAAATTAAAATAGAAAATTAATGTAATTTAATGCCTATAAAATCAATAGAATTGTAAAAAAAGAAATTACCAAATTTCCATGAACTATATTATTTACGTGTAAGTGCATAACAGCATTAGCAATCTGTTTTGCGAAACATAATATGTTATTCCATCTCATTAATTTGAAATTTTGGCGTAAATGCTGGCGAAGAGTTTCTCCATCAAAATATTCAAGAACAATCATAAGCGAATTTGGATCTTGAGTAAATATTTTACAGTAATTAAAGTAAATGAAAATTTTAATCTAATGTTTTAAGTACGTATACTAACAATCATTAAAGTAATACATAAAATTTATTAAAATTTCAACTAGTAAAACAGTTATTACATGGCTGTATTTAATTATTCAAATATCTCAGTGTTATTTACGTACCTGGCATGGTTAATCCAAAAATTTGTAAAATATTATCATGTAATTTTACATTTTTGTATCTATTAAACTATAAATTTATAAGAAAAATTAAAAAAAATATGCTAAATTTTTCTTTAAAAAAAAATCCGAAAATATTTATAATTTAAAATATTAAATTGTACTTCGTCAATAAAATCTTTTAAAGCAAATCGTTGAGATACTATTAATGGTTTTAGAATTACGTGTTTGTCATATCTCTTAAATGTTGTTTTGTAAAATAAATCAGATTCTCCAATAATCAATGCTTCAAAATTTTCAAAATTATCATAATCATTTATTATATTCCTTTTAGAGTTCAACACGTTAAACATTTCGGATTTTTTTTTTTAAAAAAAAAAAATCTGCATACGCATTCACATTATTTAAAGAATTTCGGTTTCACAAAGATATGTGATACAGTAATTTCCACTAATTGCAGTATTGATTCCCGTCAATTCGAAATCGACATGTGTCATCTCCAAAAACATTGCATTACGGCACATTTATGTTTACTTTAGATTACACCAGTAGTGGTGATTTTTTTTATTCAAAAGTTAGGAAGCACATGATAGGGAAGCGAGTAATTTGTCGAGTTGGACGGATCCTAGATCCCATGAAAGTAGCAATCGTGATTGCACTAGCCATATAAAAAAAGGTCGTTCTGTTTTTGTTCCGTTTTTGTCCAGCTTTTGTCGATATTCAAAAAAAGTTCAGAACGGAGTCATTATCGTAGTAAAGGCGGGACAAAAATTGTACAATTTTTGTTCTGTTTTTATACTATAATGACTCCATTCTGAACTTTTTTTGAACAATATCGACAAAAACTGAACAAAAGCAGACAAATTTTTTTTATAGGGCAGCCTATTAGACTAAATGACCCTCAAATGACCCCGGTAATTTGGTCACGAGTCATTTCCAAATGACCAGGTCATTTACCATCATTGTCTTGCATTGATTAATTAGCCAGTTTTTGAGATAATATATGCATAGGTGTAAAACACCATAGGTGCGTTTTAGTAAAAGTCTATAGTACTGAGAAAAAAAAAAAGTCAACACATAATAGTTTTATGCCGATAATAACATGATTGGTAGTTTTTATCCATCTCACAAGGAACTTTTACTAAAAAATATTTTTTTAAAGCGCTTCAAGAAATAGCTTTGCAAATTGCAAATCCTCCTTGGTTAAAATCAAATGTTGTCCTAAATATTATTGTGATTCTTACAACTTTTATTTTATAATGACAAAGCTAACTAGTAGGATGGTACACAAATTCCGCCTCTCGGCATAAAATACGACGTAAAATGAATCTTATTACCGATTTTTTCTTTTTTGTATGATGAGAACTTGATCAAGAATATGATAGAAACGAAAGCCAAGATTATATAAAAAAGTGTTTTATTGTTATTAACGTCTTAGCTTAAAATTTATTATTATCTGTTTTTAAAGTGTATTTATACATATTAATATACTGTATAAATGCGCCATTGTGAAATAAAAAAAATTTTTTTAATCTTATCTGTATGTGTATCGATACAACTAAGGCAAATACTCCAAATATAAAAAATCTTGCTAAAACGGAAAAATTATGCGATAATTCTGTTGTCCTCATAAATTCTGTGACGAACTAAAATTTGACCATTTCTCGAGATAAAGTCAGGTCCCCTAAATGCAACACCTCCCTAAATGCATGATGGAAAGCTAGCCCCCACAATGGAACTTATAGATAAATTAGATGCACATTCTTTATTCTGTAAATGCACGCTAATTGTTTGGCTCATTTATAAAAACTTCCTCTATAAATGCATCCACATGATTATTATACAGGTCGAAATAAAATATATCAGTAGAATGTCATATACTTATTTTAGCCGATTAATGTTATAAATAGGGACAATATCAGATACATTTCAGATGTTAATAGGGCAATCAGTAAGCTATCAGGTCTTTGCAAAAATCTGACAATTTCGAGATATGCAATTATTTGCCAATAATAAACAATATAAATTATAATAATAAAATGGGGGTGTAAGTAGAAACCAGGCAAATTGTTTCTTAGTAAATTTTTTTAGACTTTAAATTAAAATATCTCAACAACTATTAAACCAAACTTGAAAAAAAATGTTTTTTAATTCTATTTAGTGCAAAAACATTGTTTTTGACCCACCTGACCCATTTTTATTGACCCGCCCAAAAAAAAAAAGAATTATCATCGTTTTTTTGACCCAAGTAGTGTTAGTCGGGATTTTAGGATGATTGCATAATAAATTAAAGTATATTAAGCTTATATAGATATTTGATACAAAAATGATCTAATTAATAAAGTCATATAAAAGGCAAAGGTAATCTCTTGTTATAAAAGGAAAAGATAGCTAGACAACGGCTATTATTTGACTTCATGAAATAATATGAGTGCTGCCAAGGGAAAAGGGATACTTTGATCTATCGGTATATCATGTTTTTCTGATCGGGCTTTCAATTTTATAATATAATGCACATAGCATTACCTTATAAAATTGAAAGCCCGATCAGAAAGACATGATATACCGATAGATCAAAGTATCCCTTTTCCCTTGGCAGCACTCATATATAGAAAAATCGACCAAAACTATATTAATTTTCTTACACAAACGACTTCACCTTTTCATATTGGTGATATTCTATTACCATTTGGACGATCTGTTGAACATTATTTATATTCTCTTCTTATACAACACCCGTTATAAGGTTCAAAGTTATAAATAACATGATATGTTTAAATTTATATATTTTAAGTTATCACGGTACCGATAGAAATGTAATAAATAAATAAATAAATACTAAAGATATATAAGACAATTCTGACAACCATTTTTTTTGCAATGATCGTGTAACACTATGTGGGTCAAAAACGATGATAAATTTTTTTTTTTTGGGCGGGTCAATAAAAATGGGTCAAAAAAACAATGGTTTTGCCTATTTAGTTATAGAATTAAAAAAAAAAAAAATTTATCAAGTTTGGAGATATTTTAATTAAAGTTTTTTTTTTAAAAAAAAATACTAAAAACAATTTGCCTGATTTCTACTAACACCCCAGACGCTAATAAAGTGTTTAGCTATTTAAATTTAAAAGCCTTTTTAATAATGAAGACCCAAAACAGAATAGTTTTAAGTAAATATTTTTTTAAGTAATGAATAATGAAGTTATAACAAAAAATTAAACTAGCAAAATCATTAAAGAAGGAGCTGATACAACTGAAGTTGAAGCTTTGGCAATTGGTCAAAAAGGATTTTTGTTACTGTGTTTTTTTAAATAGTATAGCAAAGCTTATAAAAAATAGAAAGAGTATGCTCAAGCATTTAATTTTATAAATATCATTATTAATTATAATGCTTAAGATCTTTAGTATAGCTGTATAGTGATTTAATATTAACTATTACATATTTACTCTTTTTTAAAGTTCTTATGGCTCTACCAAATTTAGTAATATCTAGGTAATTAATAATAACTATAACAGAGTAATAATTAATTGTAAATAAAATATTGTAATAAATTACACATCTAAATTAAATAAATAAAATTCTTTAAATACATTAAATTAATTATTGACTTTTTAGATTAGATCAAAGAATTTAAAAATCTATTACTGTATTTGTGTTATTGATTTATCATATAGCATATAAGAAATAGATTTTGTAATTGTAAAAAAAAAATCTTTTTTAAAAAAATAAATAATCTAATTCAAATTAATAATTAAATTGTATATAAATAACTATTTTTTGATATAATAAATCTTAAATTCAATTGTAATTCTAAATAATTTGTTATACTTGCTATAAATTAATTCAATTATAAAATATATTTGATCTCTTTTGCCAAATCTTATTTTTTAATATTGTTCTTGCAATAAATTGTATCAATAGATTTCAAATATATCTCTGATATTAAAAATATTTTAAATATAAAAACTTCTTTGAATATAGAATATACTTCAGATATAAAGTTGAACTTTGATTTTGAACATGCTACTAGTGCCAATTTTTAAAGTAATATTGATTCTTTTACTGCTAAAGAAAAATTTGTAAAAAATCTATAGATAAATCAAGTACTAAAAATATTTAGATTAGATTTAATAAATCAAAAAACTCTAAAAAAAAAGCTATATTTAGGAGTATTTTGAAAAAAAAAGAAAAAAATATTTGTAAAATAATTATTTTTACAAAAGGTGTAGAAAAAGTGTATAAAAAAACTATAAATATAATAGATTAACTAAAAATATAAAATTGTATTTACAAACAGAATATAAAATCTTTGCAACAAATGAATTAGAGTTAAATTTAAATAAAAAATATCAATTAAATATAGCTAAAATATTTAAAAAAGTAATTTTATACAGTAAATCTAAACAATTAGAACTAAAGCATATTATAGTTGAATATTAGTTACAAATTCTTTTCTTTTTAATATTGTATATGAAATATAACAAGTATATTAAAAAAAAAATTAAGATTGTTTATCAAAAGGATATAAAAGAATTTAAAAAATTACTTTTGATTACTTGTAAAACAGTATTTATAACTACTAACTTATAAATATCTCAAAGTAATAATAAATATATTAGTATAACTCTTTATTATTTAATATCTAAATTTGAAATATATAAAGCATTACTTGCTATTAAAAAATTTAAATATTTATATACAGATAAAAATATCTAATATAAAAGTTAAAAAATTCAAATTAGTTAGAAAAATTTTTTGCATAATAACAAACAATAGAACTAATATGAAGAAAGCTATATGACTTTAAAATGATATAAATTGGCTACTTTATATTGTATATACAATCTAACTCATAGTTATTTAGACTCTAAATTTATATATTTATATATTAATAAAATTTGTAAACTTATTAAATTTTTTTAATCTTTAAAGCAAAGTCAATGTCTTGATAAGATACAAATTATCTTAAATTATCAAAAAAGCATTACAAAGCCTATTATAGTTAAAAAATATACCAAATTAAAAAATTAGGTTCTAGAATAATTTGTAAATTAATTCTTAGATTTTTTTTTTTTCTTTTCGGCAGTCTTGCCTTTACTTTATTAGGCTTTATAATATTAACATTCTACAATATTAAAATTTCTTACAAGGAGTTATTCTTCTTGTGATCTAAAATTACAAGATTGGCTTACCTGGTTATTCATTAAACACCTATATGCGACCTGCTATAGTAAGATTTTACCTCTATACTGACTTACTTTGCAATTAAGTATGTCAATATTTCATTGGATGGTTCTTATGACCTGTCATGACTACTAAGTACTTTTCTACCAATTTGCTTACCATCCATCT